CAAATAATTTATAATTATTTATAAATATTAATTAAAAAAAATTCTGTGATATTCCAACATACCATTCACAAAAAGCTGAACAATTATATCTCAAGGGACATATCCTGGATAAAAGCGTACCGTTTCATTCAATTTAAAGATTTAGTTGCAAAATTCAAGGAGGAGTTGATGAATAATTAGCATAGTTCCCTGTTTGGCCATCCGGACTGCAAAGGTCATTTCCCGCAAAATACAAACAAAAATCTAGTCTAAGTTGAAACCGGAACGCAATTGGCGAAAGGACTTTTTTTTCTTGCAAGTAATAAAACGCAGAAGGCAACAGCGTTGGAAAACATTTCCTCAAACTGATAAAATACAGTATTGTTATCGGCGGCGGAGATGGCTGCTGCTTGTCTTTTCACACCCAACCCAATTCATATCCCTTCTTCCAGGAATGGATTCGTAAACTTGGCCTCCTCTCCATCTGCAAAGTGTCGTCGTCTGCTTTTTCCAAATCGTCTTCGTTTCAATCGCAGAATCTATTGTAACCAAGACGATTACAGCCGCTCCGGGAATCAACCTCAGCCCTCGTCCTCCTCAATTCAGCTTTATGGGGAAATTGAGAGGTATCTATCTACTGCCGCATTTTCAGAGCTCAATTCAGCTTTTGGATTTTTTTTTTTTATGGTATTTGGGTTTGGTATTTGGGTTTTGAGTTTTTGTGGGTTTTGGGTTTTTTTGGTTTTTGGGTAATTGGGGTTTGAGTTTGGGTTTTGGTTTGGGTTTGATGGGTTTTGGGTTGGACTTGTAAGTTCGTTTTGATGAACTTCACCCCTCTAACTTTTGATTTCTTCAATTGAATCCCTTGTTTTTAATTTCTTTCATCTCCTTTTTCCAATCTTCTTTGCAAAATCCTCCCCTCTTTTTTGAACCTAACAAGTAAAAAAAAGACAAAATATATTAGTTAAAATAAAATAAAAATAAAATAAAATTCTACTAAAATTTGAGTTATGACACAAGTGTATTAGTCGCTTCAAGTAATATAATGATAAGTAGAGTGTCGAACTCATGAGGATTGTGATTAATTAAGTACGAAAATAATTAATCTAAATTTATTTGAACAATCAAAAAGGAAGAAACTTTAATTAAAAATAATAAAAAGAAAATAACAATTAAAATAAAACTAATCAAGATATGAGGTACTAAGGCCTTGACTTCACCATAATCAATTAATATGGATTTTCGATTATTATACTTTCAAGATATTATTATTCATGTGACAGTAGGATTTTCTATTCTATTCGATATACTTTCTCAAGTTATACCAAAACTATTTTAATCTATTAACCCACTATATCTCTATGTGAATTTAAATAGATAAAGATGCATTATATTCTATAAAATTCCCTAGTTTACATAGAAAATTAAGTTCACTTATCACTAATGCTGCATGAATCATGTTGGTCCATTTCTGACTTTTGTTCAATTCATGGTATATATGATTAGAAGCTATTGCATAAAATCTTCTCTCAATCTCAATTATGCTCTCCAAATCAGTTTTAATGGTGATCAAGCATTAAAAAGCATTAAGAATAATTATATATACTAATCATGGAATAGTAATCTCAAAAGTGTAAAAATCATAAAAACCTATATTGAATTGATTAGGCTACATCTTAGCCCTAGTTGACTAAATTAGTTCGTAATAAAAATAATAAAACTTGAAATCATAATTATGAATATTTGAATATCAAACAATAAAAAAAAATCTAAGGAAAAACAAAATCCAACTTAAGGGAATTAAACTCCTTGATTTTCTATTGTTGATAAAATTTCTATCTTGATCTCCAATAATACTCAAAAGAGAGTTGCCACCAGCCTCTCGAAACTCTCTTAATTCTGAATTTAGATGGGTATTTATAGGATTTAAAAAACCCTAATCAGAATTTTGTAAAAATTGCATAAGGAGTCAACACCTTCAACAAGGTCCCGACACTTTCTGTTCAGCGCACAATGGATCACCGTGTCATGTTTTTGGCCTTCTTAGCAATTTCTGTAATGGTAAAATAACAGTCCTGGTCCCTGACTCCTGGATTCTGCACTAGTTGATCCTCCAGTTTCTGGTCTCTGTAATTTACTCTTAAAATTTATGATTTCTTTCAAGTAAGTCCTTTCCTACACAAAGAATAAAAATCATGTAAAATCAAACAAAATCCCATAAAACTCATCCAAATATCAATAATATCAAGGCAATAATTTTACATTAACATGTATATAAATTCAGCTCATCACTAAGTTAGAGAGTTGTTGAATGAGCCTTTTCTCTAGATTAATTATTATGAATCTGATTTGAAACCTCTACATTATGAAAGAGAACTTGATGAAATAGATCCTATTTTTCTCTTTGGCTATGCTATTCATCTTATAGCTTGTGTAGGGTATCATTTTCTTTTATTTTCTAGATCACCAATGGAGCAGCAATGGCTTTCAAGTGCCTCATCATTGTCCATCATCAAGCTCAACAATTTAAAAATACTTCAAACTTAACCCTAAACTTAACCTAAGTTTGGTTGTTCATTTGCTAGTTTTTAGCTTCATGATGCTTTGAATGTGTGAAGAGAGAAAAAAAAAAAAAGAGAGAGAAAGGGAGAGATTATTAAATGTGAGTTGGAGTACTGCAACAATAATTAGGTCATAATCTAATGAGAAGAGAAATAAAAGTACAGGTTTTTTATATTGATTGTCTTGAGAAAATAGGATTCTTCTATACATAGATGAAGAGAAGAGAGAGGATGCTGGTTGGGAAGATTTTGAATTCTTTATTCCTTTTTTTTATTTTTTGTTTATTTTCTATTTTTTGCCCCAATTCGTGTTCTCTTGTTCAAACATTTTTTTTTTTTTTGATAAGTTTGTTATTACAACCGGGGACAATCTGGTGTTCTTACAAACCGGTTCATCAAGTTCCCACACTATAGGAATAGAAGTAGCTATGTTGGTTCTGCAAATTTATTACTTCACCTCTTTCATATCAAACATGTTTAACATAGATGAATATTAAAGTTATTTTGGGTCTAAAACTAGGCCATCATTATGTACCCATCTAGTTGAACTTATGCTCGAGTTCAACAAGAAGTTAAAGTAGTTTAAATTGAAAGGAATTGTTGTATTGACATAACAACTTTTAAGTTTTCAAGTTCATAGATATGGAAAGATCTAAAGTCTACCTCTTTGTTGCAACTGGGCAATCCAGTTTTAGAATTTGCTACTAATTTTAATTCAAGTGCTGAGTACTTCTGGTCTCATGTATTGATATCATATTCAAGTTGTTCCTATTTCAATGATACTGAAAAAGGTTTACAAATGTGTGGGATTGCAGTTATAGAATTAGCTAGCTTAGAAAGAAACATAATTTAAGACCCTACCCTCCTTGGTTGCAAGTTACAGCTTAGCTTGGCTTATTTGTCCTATTTTAGTTTGATGCAATCTTACTCTCGTAGATTTGCCATAATTTATGGTGATAAAAATATTCATGAAAGGAACCATGCATACAGTCAAGTAGCATTTAGTTTAATTTATATTTGATTACATATATTCATGAAAGAAGCTATGAAAAAAGTCAAGTAGAATTTATTTCAATTTGTTCAGTTTCTTACTACAGCTATTTTACATTTGACATACCTAATAAATGAAGGAATCATTCAAGACACACTAATAGAAGGGCCTTCAATATTTAGCCTTAACACTGTTTTATGAGTCTATGGTTGATATGCCTTAATGCAATGTGAAAATGTGTTTTGGAAAATATTGAAGACATGAGAATTTTACGTTAAGAACTGCATTATATTGGATATTCAATTCAATTGAGCAATTTGATTGTGTGTGATTGAAAATTCTAACTTTGACATTGAATATGTGATGACTTTATTATGGCAGCCATTTTTCCTCTCTCGTTATTTCATCTATTGTTTTCTCTTTTTTACTCTCTTGTTTTTACAAAACTAATAAGATAGAAATTCATGAAATCTAAAAGTCTTGCATGGAACTCTCTATTCACTATCCGAATCTATGAATTATTAATTTTGTGAAAGCTTTAGAACTACAACATATGTTATATTGATTGATAACTTTACAAATCACAATATCTATTTATTCATTAAAATTGGTTCATTCAAAGTTACACCTGACACCACATTGTGCAACGTGGGATCCAACTAGTAATTACAATGTTACATAATTTATAAATTTATAATTTTGATGTGTTATTATATGATCGAAAATGATATATTAATGCTAGTGAATGAAATAACTCAATAGTAATTTT